GATGTCTGGAGGGCCCCTGAATGTCTGGAGGGCCCCTGGATGTCTGGAGGGCCCCTGAATGTCTGGAGGGCCCCTGGATGGCCCCTACCAGCAGCTACTGAGTTTTCTTTGCCTTGATATCTCAGTCTTATAATTCTAGATCTAGAGGTTTAACATAGAAAACTAATGTAGAGTCATCCTCTGAGCTTTTTGATCTTTAAATCAGTCTGCAGTCAAGCTGCTATGGAGGTTAAACAGTCAGATATTATAAGGATTTATTTAGTAACTGTTCTTATTTCATAGCTTCATAACCTTTGACCTTCTCTCCTCTGGTCTGTTTCACAGCTTCAGTCTCAGATCAGCTCAGCAGAAACAGAAACATTAAATCAGGGAAACATGGACTGTATCTGCTTTGCATTGTCCCCACATGATGACAATGATCTAGAATAATCTGATTAAATATTAGATTCTTGATTAATATGGGTTGTTGTTGTTGTACGTTGTTTCAAGATCTTGTTCAATGTGCCGTTTTGTAACTTTGAGCCCCCAAACCCCCAAAGGCCGCTGCACGGCCCTGATTATTAATAAGTCAAAAACATTCAAACATGATGGAAAGATGAAAAAGTTGATTTTATATAATACTGCTCCTTTAAGTACAGAGACATGAAAACTGCATAGTAACAAAGCAGTTGCTATGTCCCACCACTGCCTTTATGTTTTGAATGATCAGAGTGACAGGCCGCACTTTTCAGTGTGTTTTCTGCCAGCGCATCATGCAGGTCTGCTCTGCTGTCTGCAGTGGTTCCTCCGGGCAGTGTGGCTCCCGGCGTGGCAGTGGGCCCCAGCACCCCGGGGGGCGTCCAGGCGCTGCGTCGGTCTCCCAGTATGGAGCCCAGTCTGGATGACAGTCCCAGTAAGGTTCCAAAGAGCTGGAGCTTTGGGGAACGCAGCCGGACCCGGCAGGCCTTCAGGATCCGAGGAGCAGCGTCCCGCCAGAACTCTGAAGGTGAGGCAGGTTGACCTCAAACTGCTGCGCACCGTGTGGCCACCGGGGGGCGACAGCTGCGTCTCAACACACCAGATTATCCCAGAGTCAGCGTCTGCAAAACGACAGTGAAAAATTTAAATAAATATTTTCATTTATGGAGTCTCTCATGGAGAAATAATGTGTGTTAATTTTTCAAAGTCATATTTGTATCATATTTCATCAAGTTATAAATTACGTTGTAATTTATGAATTACAAGGTTCCAAACAAAATATTTAAAACAGCTTTTACTTTATATTCCACTTCTGTTTGTTAGCATGTCAGTTTGCATATTAGTTAAATATTTAGCCTGGACCTAAACATTTAGTTCCGAGCTAAATATTTAACTAGCAACCTAAAGATTTAGTCTTATAGCTAAATATTTAGTTAACAAGCTAAAAAATGTGTTTTAAAAATAAATATTTGAATCTGAATTTTAAATGCTTAATTTGAAAATAAATATTTTTTTTACTAAATGTTCAGTTTGGATGCTAATTATTTAGCTTCCTAACTACTAAATGTTGAATTTACAAGTTAAATAGTTATTAGTCTAAATATTTAAATGGTGATGTTTAGTTTGTAACTCTGATATTTAATATTATTTATTCATGAATAACATGATGAAAATATGACCATGAAAAATGAACACCCACATTTTTTTTCCATGAGAGGCTCAATAAATCAAAAATATTGCTGTTAATTTTTTACAGTGTAAAAGATGTAAAAGGGCGCCTCATACCTGAGGTCCAGTCGGTTCTGTTCCAGCACCGAATTCATAAAAAGCAGATAAAGTTGATTCATTTGGATGAAAGTGGGAGAAGGTTTGCAGAGGAAACAGATCAGCTGTCATCATCAGGGGTCAAAGGTCAGAACCAGTTTGAACTGATCACAGTCGGACGTGGCCTGTTGGGACCTCCTGGTCTCCGTCCATGTTGGCTGCATTTAGCTTCAAAACATTAAACGGCTGACCTCAAGTCCTACAGCAGATCTGCTGCTCCAGGCCAGCAGGGGGCAGCAG